CATTTCGTGCACTATATTAAACATCAAGCTTCCGGTATACAACAGGTTAGTAAAATTATCAGCACGGTCGTCTTGGAGATTCAACTCACAAAGTTCGCCACTCAACCCTGTCAAATTTATGCTGACTACAATTGACCTTTATTCAAAATTACATTCGGATCACCGTTTTAAAACATGTTCCCTTTGATTTTCCCGGTTTGTATCAGACCCCTAATCAAAAGGTAAGTTAAATTAGGATATTTATACCCACGCATACACACATATATACCGCCAACTCTGGATGTGAATGGTTTGTCATTCCCGATAACAGTGACTTTTCCTCCTCATTTATCCGTTCTTTTAATTGCCTTCCGTTTCTTCCATTCGTTCAAATTCCGAGTTGTGTGCTGAACATGTACATAACCTATTTGGGTTAAGTTTTACTGGCAGTTAGCACATGCGCCCGGTAGATAATCTCATTGTACTCTAAAAATAATGTTTGAATAATGTATGACTCCACCCTAGACACTTGTACCTATTTTTACTACACACGTTTGTGTGTTGAACGGCAAACGGGGTGGACCCCTAAGTGGCGAAGTCCTGCTGTTCAATGATGACAACTGGCCACCTAAGCCCTGGGTACTTGGTGTGGCCAACCACATAAAGCCCAATCGGGTTAGTCGCAGTATTGAACCAAACGATAGCAAAGCTGCCTACGTCCAAAGTTGGATGGCGGTGATGGGGTTCGAACCTTGGACCATAGGGTCATGCTGATGGCAGACTAAACCACTTCACCTCAGCTACCAGCGCACTCGCAGTGAATTATAACACCATCTGCACCCCGGTATTCCTGAACAGTATCACCTAGTCTCATCTTTCAAAGTTTTAGTTTATTTTATTGAGTGGAACAATCGCTGAACTTGACTCATCTGTGTTGAATAGTGCATTCGATAACAGTTCGCGTGGCACATCGTGGACTGAATCAACGATAGTATAAGGCAGGACTCGCTTTTACTTAAGCTACAATCGATTTTTACGGGTTAATTTATCCCCACTGTGCTTATATGCACGCATAAATATCAATATTTAATGGTAAACGATAAATTTTATGATTATGTTGGACAGTAAAATATGCAGTTCAACCATTCAATACGTGAACTTCACGATAGATTGTGCTTCTTCAGATCATATGTTTAATTACGATTCATGAACCTCTCATTGTAAAATTTCTTTCATCACCCTCTCGCGTTGAAAATGTATTGCCCGGGAATTTATTTGTGACACCATCAGAGTTCGTCCTTTAGAGATCTAGTCGTCCTGCACTGTAATTTCAACGACACAGCAAAAATGAATGTATTAGTTCTGTTTTCTTGGGCTATTCGTATGCAGCTTTCTAATATCTGACCATCATCCTTTAGAATGGAGACTAAAACAAGCCGAACTGTG